GACTCTCACTGGGTAGATAGGGAGGCAAGAGGCAGCAGCAATCAATAAAAGGTGGAGAACGAGCCAGAATGTCATGGCATAGAACAGAGAAATCTCTAAGCAGTATTTTGAAACGGCAGCAGGTGGGATTAGTCAGCTACAGAGGAGAACTTCTTAGATATATAAAAGTGGCACGAACCAACCAGCTGCTGAGGTAGGGTCACTCTCTTTCCCTAGGCCCCTATCAAATTTGTGTTGTTTGGATATAGTAGTTCTCAAATGTTCAGTTTACAGGCCACTTTAGCAAGGCCTAAGTCTCCAGGGACATTTGGTACAACTATTCCCACAAGAATTGTGCAAAAAATCCTCCAAATGGGAAAATGGGTGCTGCTTCTGGGGAGGCACCAATAAAAAACAGTATGTAAACTGCCTGTTTTTGCTAGAGAGATCTATGACTGTCCTTTTAAAAAATATTAATTCTTGAGGACTCTGACCACCTGGAGACCCTTTGTGTTCACTAGCAGTCCCCAGGTCACCTTCTAAGAAATGACCTTGATGACTTCTTCTCACACTCAGAATTCTTTGAGAATAAGAGTAGGAAAGGCAGAACAATTTAAAGTCTAATCTCTCTACTGATGCATTTGGGATGCATCAGACTCCAACACATATCATATGAATCCTAATGTACTCAGAATCTTTACCTGGGACGAATTCAATTGTGTAGAAAATAGGGTGGGGATTGTGAAGAGAGAGAGAGACAGAGACAGACAGACAGATCTGAGATTGCTGCTAGGAAGATGACACATATTATACTAATTCTGGGCACCTTGGGTGGCATAGGCCACCAAACCTGATAACATAATGGGTAGTCACATTGGCATAGTGGTAAAGTAAGGAAGATTCCAAGAGTGGGGCAGAATGGAGACAGGACCCCTAGGTACACAGGTACTATCTCACTGGGCAATGGAGAATCACACATAGAAGAACACCTGGAGAAAAATCTCCTCTCCATTTTAGCTCTATGAGGCAATGCTCTGGTCACCTTGTGATAGTTACTGCTTTTGTATACACTCAAGTCACACTCAAATGTCAACAATATTAGTCTAATGCTATTGGTTTTCCACCCCTCCTTCCTGCAGCCCGTCTCTCTAGGATTTATATCCAGGAGAGCCAGCAAGACTTGATTGTGGGTTAAAGGAATAGGATTCTGCTCCTAATAAAGAGACCACCCAAATGTTCCCCAAGCAACAGGTTCCTAACCCACCTGAACAGAACTTTTGATTGGGCTTTGCTACCTGAAGGCAAGTAAACAGCACACAGAGCCCCTTTTGTTTAAGCAGAAAGAAAGAGTTTGATCAAGAAAGATTCCCTTGTCCTAGCAGGGCAAGGAGGAGAAGCTACCATCCCCCAATCCTCTCTAACTCAGAGTTAAAAGAAAAGGAAGATTGGAACAATTCATTTCCAGCTGTCTTTCTGTGACACTTTCCCAGGAAAGAATCATTTCTAAGAAGCCAATATCTTGGAAAAGGGGATTAGGTCACCTGGTCCTTAACCCAGAATGAAGTCAGCTGTGGACAGGGAATAGCAAACACAGAAATACACAGAAATACACACTACTCCCCCATCCCTCCCATGTATGCCTACAAATTGGAAAGACATAAAGGCAGCTGCTGATGGGGGCATTGCTTTCATTTCCTTCTAGGTGGACGGAGCTGAAAGAGAGAGGAAGGGTTGTGTTCTTTAGGCAGAGTCCACCAGCCATCACTAAGAGCAACTTCCGCGCAAACGCTACATAGATAGCCCCAGGCCACCCACCCCCAACTGTGGGGTGAGTCAGCCAGCTGGGATGGGGCTAGTGCTTCCTGACTTGATCCTTTCCCCACTTCCCTTGAACCCCCAGGAATTGCCACACCCTCTGCTCACTACAGAAGTGAGATCTTTCCTCTCGATAAAGCTGATTACAACCCCATGCCAAATTTTAGCTCTCAACTGATTCTTAGAGCTGCATTCAAGTCTCTTGAAACAGGTTTTCCTTTTTAGCAAAATTACTGAAGGAAACATTGGCATTTACATGATGGGAATGTTGAGTAAGAAGCACCAATCTCTTCCTCTTATCAACTCCCCCCCTTAGCCAAAGTTACCTTGCATTCCAAACACAAACATACCACCTCACTTTTCTCTGTCCAAGCTTCAAGACAAGGGCAGCTGTCAGGCTCAAAGCCCCTCTGCCAATTAGCTATAGAAGAAGATCAGCAAGAGATACTTCTTGAGTTTACCTGAGTATTTCCAGGTCCTACAACTATATCGCCTAGAAAGCTCCCTCTCCTAGGCCAACCAGGGACAAGAAATGGTCTCATTTCCCAGGATCAAAAGGAACTTAGGTCTCAGTGACAGCCTATTAGAGGTAGTACCTTTGGAGCTGTTTAACCGAACCTCTGGGAATGCACATACTTAGTCACCAGACAGCCTGCCCTGACAAGCAAGGAGAAAGAAATCTGCTGGGGGAAAAGACAGCTCCAAATAGCATCTCCCCTCAGAGTCAACTAAGGCTTCCTAGATGGGTAATGAAATGCCCCAATGACTTCTCCAGTAACGGTGTATGTAGCTTCTTCTCCCTCTTTGATCTTAGGGAACAGGACAAAACTACTCTTCCATCAGTTTAGAACAATCTTAAACTGGATATAAAGAAAGAGATTGTAAAGACAGATGCACAATGCCTTCTGCCAGAAACCTACAATCTCTCCTTGCTCTAGTCCCAGCTTTCAGCGACAAGACTGACTACCCTTCCTTCACCTGATACTGGAAGCAGCTTCCTGATGCCAACAGTAAGTAAAGGCAGGTTCCTAGGGATCCTACTACAGAGATACTTGGTAGAATGATGCAAGAGGAGAGAGATCAAAGCCAGTCTTTCACGCCAGCTGATGATCAAGCCATTCGTCATCCCTCATCACTCCTTAAAGGCTTGGCAGTTAGGACTCTGGGGGCATCCAGGTGGCATGTGAAAGGGATGGAATTTTACAACCACTTTTTATTCCATTTGAATGCCACTCTGGGGGTGAAGCTAAATTACATCAATACATTTAATCTTGAGGTTTCAAGCACTCCAGAGACCTTTAAACACAAACACACTCACTCATGTAAAACAGCAAGGAACATTAGCAAAGAAATCCAAAGAGTCAAAACTTGTCTAATTAGAAAAAAGCCTCAACCCTTCTTGAAACCTCTTCCACCCCCTCCTCTAAGGAAGAGTTCAGCCCCTCAATGACATCACCAAGAAACAGGCAACATCACCCCACCCAGCCCTACAAGAACAGCTCAGCAACTTCAGCTATGTGAATGGAGCTCCAGTAGCCTTGGATTTGGAGTCAGGAGCTTCAAGTGCCCATCCCCCTTTCCTACTTGTGACCTGAGTGACCTGGGACAAATCATTTCATCTCCTTGGACTTCAGTGCCCTCATCCATTAAATAAGGGAATTGGACTAGATCTGATTCTCTTAATGATCTTAAGAATTATCATTCACAGACATTTAAGATTCTAGACATTCCTCTGTGCTTCTAGATAGAAAAACTGGATTTAGGTACCTTATTATAATTTAGATGCCAAGGGGGTAAAGTGGATTCAGCACAGATTCAGCTAGAGAAGGAATTTGGGATTGACAACAGAGACTAGAACTGGAGTTTCTGAAGGACCTCTGTCCCATTTTAGAAGATAAGAAACAGGCATCAGAGAAAAGAAAGTGAACACCAACAAAAGGAGGGCTAAAGTAAACCTTCGAAAATAGCCTTAGCCTTAGGCAAGAAGAGAAATCCTAAGAATAACACACAAGCAAAGGATTCTGTGGCTTCCCTAGACCCTTCTAAACTACCATACACTCCTCCCTCCATAAATAACAGAAATTTCTCCACAGCAGAACACACTAAGCCCCCCCCAATCAAAGCATTATATTGACACGATTTATAAATATCAGCAAGGCTTCATTCTTTAGTTAGGGGAGGAAAGCTCCCCAGGATTTCCCATCACCACCCAAGAAATAACTCCCAAACCAGCCACACTCTCCCATCTTTAAAAATGTAAATACTTGAAATTAAAAAAAAAAATCTCTGTTAGGACAAAGAGTGACCATAACCAAAACGTCCTCCAAGATAAAATTTGTCTCTCTGGGATGAAAATATTGCTATCAAGGATTGTTTTGTTCACAGAGGAAATCACACTGCCAAGCTTGACATGGCATTTCTCTTTCTCTGGCAATTAGCATTTGCTTCTCAAGGAAAGCAGTATGGGCTAGAACCCATACTGTTTCAGCCAGGATGTCCCTGGCCGTTAGAAGGAATTCTTACTCAAGAAAAGCAAGATGCTCTGCTTCCTGCCTAGCCTCCTTGCTGAAAGGAATGGCAGAGATTATGGCTCCTGACTTCTGCTCCCCGGGGGGGGGGGGGGGGGGGGACAGTGTAAGAGAGTGCCTAGAAAACAAGCAGGAAACTCCTGCTGGGCAAGACTAAGGTTGGGTGATCTTGTTCCTAATAAGCAAGAAAGTCTGAGAAGTCACACTAGACTTATATGGTTTCCTTTTTGTTGTTCCAAATCCTGCGGACAAATAACGAAATTCAGATTTAGGGGCAGGAAAAAGGGACAGGATTCCAGCCAGAGACCCTTAGGAAGAGTCTTCAAGATGAGCTCTCAAAGATCTATTCTACATGAATGGATCTATGTAAAAGATCTCTCAATATACTTACTTTTCACATTTAAGTAGCACAATAATAACCAGATAGAAATGAAATCAAAGAAAGAGAACTACTCTCCTCTACTTCTAATTTCCACCAGACTTCCAGAGTAATACAGTGATAGATACCAGAGGAAAACAGAGATTGTTGTCCTTTGCCCTCAGCCACACTCAAGCCCAGTATAATATATTGCAGTTCCTTCCCACTCATGCTTGGGGCCCCAGTAAAATTTAACTGGCTCCTGTGCCTGAGGCTTAAAAGTCAAGGGGAAACATAAGAAAGGAGGCCAGGGCACTTACCTTGCAGCTGGTTTTGCTATCTACACTTCAGTCCCCTGTGATGGAGTTGGACAGCATTTGTATGGACTGGATTCTGATTCGGTTCTGAAGCGCCACATTCCCCAAGCGCCATGGAAGCAGCCCCCCTGTAAAGAAATAAGAACCTAGCATCAATAAAGGAGGCAGCATGAACCAGCAGCCCAAACCAGACATAATAAGTCAGAGGATCAGGACTCTACTGCACAGAGCTGCTCTCAATTCATTGTAACATCTTAAAGTGGGTTAACCTGTACCTCAGTGTCCCTTTTAGCTATAAAATAGGCATTAATCTTTGCTTATATCAATGTCACAAAGGAATAAGGTCCTGGTTAGTTACTCTAAAGGAAAAAAAATTCCAAGAATTATTATTGCCAAAATTTCCTAAGGAAGATGGTATTCCATAGCAAGGAAGACAAACCTCAAATAGTGGGAATGCTGCCAGGTTGGGATTAGAAGTTTGGGTGGAGATGGTTTAGGGAAAGATTCCTTCTGGGATTCAAAGCAGAATCAAAGCCCGAAAGCACACTAACTCTCAGTTGTTAGACTCTCTCCTCTCTCAAATTATCTTAAATTTCTATATCTAAGTACATGTATGTTCCTTAGAAGGTAGAATCTGTTTCATATGTGTCTATTATCTATCTCCAGTGTCCTTGCACACAGTAGGTACTCAAATAAGCAAATATTTCTTGATGTACTCTGCTCTGTGTACACAGAAGTGTTTAATAAACATTGGTAAATGATTCACAGAATCTCAGAGTTTGAAGGGACTTCAGAGGTCATCTAATCCAACCTGCACTCAAGTAGGAATCCCTTTCCTCTCTTTCCTCCATTAGCAAATCATCCCAGACATGTGCTCCTCCAGTTCCCACTAGAAGACATCTAGTGATTGGGGGAAAAACTGATTATTTAAGGCAGTTCCTTCTACTTTTGGATAGCTCTGATTTGTAGAAAATTTTTCATTTCATCAAACTAAAATCTAGCCTCTTCATAACTTCTATCCATTACGACTACTAGTTTTACCTTCTGGGAACAAAAAGAAAAAGTTTGAACCTTCTTTCACCTACTTGAAGAGAGCTAACACGTCTCTCCTAAATTTTATTCTGCTCATAGTTACCAAGAAGCCAGAAAACATTGCTTGGTCTATCTGTGCTTTTCTCTGACCAATCTTAAACTAGAACATTTTAAGATGTCCCAGTAATTAAGCAAGATAGGATTATGTCAACCCTGTGAACCCAACCTTATGAGGCATGGGGAATTATTTTCCATTCAGGGGGATGTCCTGGGAAAAGGGAAATAACTTTTTCCACAAAGTAAGGTTAAAACAACCTCACCTTGCTTAACTACTGGGTTGTTCTAATATGGTCTGTCTTGAGACTGTCCAGTGAAATGCAAAGAGCACGCACACAAAGAACATCACTTCAACCTCATTTTCTCTGGGACAAACCATCTGTCCCTCCACACCCAAAAACCTTTGCTTATGGGAAGAATTTGACCTTCATGCCTATGATGCTAATATGACCCTGCCATCTGTATGGCCAGGCTCTGCAGAACTGCCCTCTCATGACAGCTTCTGAAATATCAGCTTTCTATTCACAGGAGACATCACACCCCACTACTCTAATCAGAATACTCTGCCAACCACCTGGCTTTTCAGAGGGGAGGTAATATGGTGTAGTGGAAGGAGTACTGAATGGAATCAGATGACCTAGGTTTGAATACTTACTCTGCAACTTACTAATTATTCAACCTTCAGTAAACTGCTTCCTCACTCTAGCCTTAAGGCTGCTCACCTGCAAAATAAATGAACTGAACTAAATAAGACCTAAAGTTATCCATTTCAGCTCTAAGTCCTATGATCCTGTGAGTCTGGGATGTTACTTATTGGGAAGCAGCACAGATGCTTCAGAAAGACACAATAGATGCTAAATCTGACAGGAAAGAAGAAACCACAAGGAGATTTTTTTAAACCATGTACCAATTTCAATTTAACCTATGTTTCCTTTCCCATTTGTTCTCCTGTCAACCTCTAATGCAAAGGCTTCCATGAGAGCAGGGAACAGAAGAAGACTTGTCAAGGACTTTCCCAAAGAGAATTACCCTAAATCCCTCTCCTTAGACCAGGATAAGTCAAGGTCTCCCTCTGTCCTCATACAGGATGACATCAGTTGAACACTGGGTGATCACCAAAAAATTCTTCAATGAGTATTAAGTACCCAATGACTTAACAGGTAGCCCTTGCCAAAAGGAGCAAGATCTTTATCCAAATCTTGTCTTCCTTAGGCCCAAGGGAAAGGAAAAAAAAAAAGCAATGGTTGGGGAGTTTAAAAAAGCAGCAACAACAAACTCTCAACCCCCAGAAATGAAGACCCGAGGGAACATGATCACTGTCTTCAAGCATCTAAAGAGCTTTCAAGTGAAAGAGGGAGATAAGTAGATATGCTTGACCTCATGGAGCAAAACCAGGTACAATGGGAAATTACAGGGAGTTCTGTAATCTCAATCTAAAGAAAACTTCCTAACAATAAGAGCTGTCCAAAAGTTGAACAGGATGCTTCAAAGGAGAGTGAGTTCTACATCACTGAGAGGTCTTCAATAGAAAGCTTACTTGCCAGACATGTGGCGGACCAATATTCATGTTTCATCTAGGAATCAGATTAGAGGACCTTCGAGCTCCCTTCCACGTTAGAGACTACAACCTGTAAATTACTACCACTAGGGCCCCTGAAACAGAGCCTCTTCCTTCCAAGTCTAGGCTCCCTCCCCAATCTAGGGCCCTTCCAGGGGAAGAGACCAGGCCCCTAATACTTTAAAGCAACACCAATGCTCTGCACACTGGGCTGGGCCCTGGGCGGGAGTGGAGAAATAATTTTTTTATCCTACCCACTATGCTGAGTAGATGATGCCATTTACTCCCCGGAGATATCGACCAAGTACCAGCCCCCTCTGGAGGACTCAGTTTCCCTCTTTGTAAGTGAGGGGGTTGTAGATGATCTTCCAGATCCTCTCCAGCTTGGAAACCTTGCAATGCTGATTGTCTATGGAACAAATGCTGAATGTGGCGGATCCCCAGACCAACCCCTCAGCCCATGTAGGGAATGGGACGGGAAGAAAAATTTAATATCCCCCCCCATTCACCCTGTTCCCCGAGAAGGGGGACACTCCAAAGCTGAGCAATATTCTCCTCATGGAGCCAAGGGGCCTTTGAAATTGAGTGACACCCCTAAAGCGAAATGATCCCCGAATTGGGAGACCCACCCTAAGTGAATGCCCCCCTAAGCTAGGTGACGCCCCCAAAGCAAAAGGAACTCAATAATGCCCGGTGACAGCTCCAAAGCAAAAGGAGACTATGCTGGGGCAGGGCTGGGTGACACCCCCAAAAGTAAGGCGCGGGAGAACCCAAGGAAGGGAATGCGCCTGGCACCTCCCTTTCTCCCCCAGGCGCCTAGGACAGGGTTCCGTCACCTCCTAACGTGGGAGCCTTCCCCGGCCCAGGTTAGGGGGTAACTGTGACAGCGCTGGCCCAGTCTGTTCCCCGGCCCCAGGCCCCTGGCCCCTGCACTTACGCAGCAGAGCCCGGCAGCCTCCCGGCGCCCTTCCGCGATTCGATCCCCGCCGGCTCCTCCGGCCGGCGGCTCCTTTTGTTTATCCCCTCACTGCACCACTCGGGCTCCTCCGCCCCGGACGTGACGTCACCTACGGCGCACGCTTTGGGGGGGTAGCGGGGGATGAAGAAGGGAGGGGGGAAACAGCCCCTCCCACCGCCTTATGAGAAAGTGGAGTGGGGGAGGGGAGGGGGAAGAGGCGTAGCCATGTTTGTGAAGGGCTCTCCGACAACAGTCTCCCTGAAAGCGCCATCTTACTTAAGGGCGGATTTTTGGGAAAAAAAAAAAGAGCTAGCGGAACGCTGTTAAAGGGACAGTAACTCCAGGTTAGCCCGAGTCTTGCTAGGGGAGAAAACAAGGTCTTTGCAGCCCAAACTTTCTCCTCCCCTGCAGCCGCGCGGGCGTGGGCGCCAGGTGAGTAGCTCTTCCGGACTAGTGGAAACAATAGGAGGAATGCACGCCTACAACGTTTACTTACCTAGAGCCTCTAGAGACTGAACGTGCAAGTGCTAAGCGGGTCCTATGCCTGTCACCGGGCAGTGCACATGCACAGGCTGGGTACCAGATGGGTCAAGGGGAACCACGGGGCACTGACGGTCACCGCGCCACCCGAGCTGGGCTCTTTGCTCTCCGGGGTCCGTGCGGTGAATTGGAAACTGCCTCGTCCTGGAAACCAAGACACCTGGGTTCTAGCCCGCCGGTTCTGCCTAGAGTTGTGCGACCTTGGGCCTGGTCACTTACGTTTTCTAGGTCATTGTCCAATGTCAGTCACTGGTCGTCACCTTTATCATCATAATAGCACCCGTTTGTCCTTTGCTTTTCAAACCTTAAAAGTGCTTCCCCTCCCCACTCCCATTCATTAATTAATTCGTTCAAAAAGCCTTGATTAAATGCTTGGCGGCTGTGTCTGGGCTGCTGAGATCTAGAAAATTGACTGGCTTCTGCCCTCAAGGGGCCATTATATTCTTTGAAGGGAAACTTTAAGTAAATTGTTTCTGAGGCAGGAGTTGTTTTTAGGTCTTTCTGAATCAAGGTCTAGTGATCTGAATGCTGCACCACCTAGCTGCTCCTATATCTGTAAATACAGCTTGGAGGATAGAGCATCAGACCTGGAGTCAGGAAGACCCGAGTTCAAATTTTATCTCAGACACTTACTTGCTGTGTGACCCTGGGCAAGTCACTTAACCCTGTTTGCTTCAGTTTCCCCCATCTGTAAAAATGAGCTGGAGAAGGAAATGGCAAACCACTCCAGTATCTTTGCCAAGAAAACCCCAAATAGGGTCATGAAGAGTGTGACACAACTGAACAACAACTAAAAGGGGAGGGGGGTCTGGGAGAATCATTAGGAGTTTGGGGGAATCAGGATAGATTTTCTGTAGGATCCACCATCCTGCCAGTTACCCAGTTTCAAAACCTCTAATTCGTCTTTAATTCACTCCCCAGAGCTAGTCACTTACAAGGTCCTGTTGATTCTCCCTAGACAACATCTCATTTTCATCCCTTTCTCTCATAACACACAGAGTCACAATCCTAGTTTGGTCCTATATCACCCCTGCCTTGATTACTGCAGTGCAGCTGATTTCCCACACCTCATGTCTGCCGCTTTTCCGACCCATACTCCACACCACTGCCAAAGTGGTATTCCTAAAGCACAGACCTGACCACGGTCCTTTAGAACTTGTTTCATCTACCCAAGGCCATTCCTGATCATCCCCTTTGAATAGGTCATAAATGAGTTATCAGAGATTAAAATTTACATTCTCTTTGGGCAGAGCACCGGCAGATAAGGGTGTGATATCCAAGATGGAGAGAGAAGAAAGAAAGAAAGCCATGTTGCCCACCTGGAAGTTTGGTTCCTAATGGGCAGCTCCTTCTCTACTCACAGAGGTTGTTTTTATTAAGCTTTAATCACTGAATGGGCACTGCTTCAGTCAAACTGAGACCTGTTAAAGACCTTAGCTTGAAAAGGCCAAGGTCTGCCACTGCATCCTGGGCCATCTCCAGTAGTCCTGATCTAGATCTCACCACAGGACCCAGATGGCTCCAGAGGATAAAGTGAGTCTGGTGACTCTGCATAGGCCTCCCTCACTTAAATCCAATTCACTTGCATGTCATGGCATGACCTCCCTGATGTCATGGTCCTCTTTGAGAACAAAGGACAAACAGCAGCAGCAGCAAATGAATTATCATCTCCATTTTAAAGCTCGGGAAACTGAGGCTTGGAGAGATCAAGTGGACTTCCTCTTGGTTACAAAGTTAGGATCCGAAGTCTTACACTATATTGGGACTAGCTGAAGCATGGTCACAACTAATAAATCTCAGAGGCAGGATTGGAACCCAGGTCTCCCCAACTCCAAGTCCTTTATTCTTTCCGGTTACTCCTCAGGGTTTTCCCTTAGAGAACTTTCAGTTAAATACTCATATGTTTTTGTAACAGTTACTATCTAACCTTCAATTAGATACTAAATTTGTAATAGCTTATAGTTTCTGGCTGCAACCAAAGAGGTTATTAAGGGATACATTTCCTTCTGAAGAGATGGGGGATCCAGAATTCCTTACCCTATGTGGGTTGGTTGGTTTGTTTGTTTGTTTGTTTGTTTTTTGGGGGGGGGGGGGATTTGGTCATAAAAAAATTCTGCGTTTAAGAGGCTTACAATGCAGTTGATAAGACAACCATATGAAAAGTTCAACGCTAGTCTAAGAGTTAAATAACGACAGGACAAAAATACAGATGTCATTGTGGTCCTCCTGTTTAAACCTTAAATTTGCTCTGTCTGCTTAGCATCAGGGCTAAAGAGATTGCTGTCCTCAATAACTAGTAAGGTTCCTTTTTATGTTTAACCTACAGTACTTACATCTGTGGATACACAGATTTATGGAAGAAATGTGAAGATTTCTTGCAGCCCACCATCAGTAAGAGCTTTGAATCCCTGTGGTACATTGCTGGTCCATTTCATTCAATTTAATAAACATTTATTAAGCACCTACTATGTACTAAGCACTAAGGATACCCCAAAAAACCAACCCTTGCCCTTAAGGAGTACACATTCTACTGGAAATAATCCAGTGGCTTGACATTTACATAGTACTTTAAGGTTTACAAAACACTTTACGTTATCTTATTCGAGCCTCACAACAACCAGATGTAATATAGGTATTATAGCTGTTTTATCCCAGTTTTACAGATGAGGAAGCTGAAGCTCTTGAGTTTTCTTGCTAATGTGGAAATGTTTTGCATGACTTCACATGTATAGTAATTGTCACCTTGCTTGCCTTCTCAATGGGTGAGGGAGGGGCTGGAGAGAGGAAGAGAATTTGGAATTCAGAATAAAAATGAATGTTAAAAAATAAAAATAAATCTCAAATAAAGACATAATGTAAAAAAAAAATAAGAAAACTTGACTTCAAATCCTGCTAAAGCACTTACTAGCTGTGTAACCCTGCGCAAATCACTTAACCTCAATCTGCCTCAGTTTCCTCATCTGTAAAATCAGGGCTAATAATGACACCTGCTTCCGAGGGTTGTTGTGAGGATGCAATGAGGCAATATTTGTAAAGCTCTTTGCAAATCTTAAAGTGATATATAAATGCTAGCTATTGTTGTTTTTGTTGCTGCTGACATCATCATCATTATCATTCTTACTATGATCCAAGATCTATTAAGTGGTAAAAGCAGAATTATTCCCCATGTCACTTCTAGATTCAAGTCCAGCTTTCATCCCACTATACCAAGGTGCCATTTGAATTTTTCTTTGGTGATTAGCTTTTTGAGGTTGACGGATAACTGGCCTAGTGTAGACAGTAGTTCTGCATTGAGGCTTTTTCTATGCCAAGCCTATGCCCAGAGTTTTGTTGATTCAGAATCCTAATCAAAATAACCAATCCAATGGAGAGCAGGTGGGAGGAGAGAGGTGGAAAGAAAGATAAACACACCTGTGCCCTTCTGATGGGACCTACAGTAATGACTCAGCAAGGTTTAGGACTCTGAATAATTCCTTTGTTACTATTCTCCATTCCTGATATCCAGTGTGTGCCTGGCCGGTGTGTGGTAAGTACAGTTGAATTAGTGGGATATTTAGGTTCTAGTGGATTTTAAATTTTATCAATATTTGTGTAGGGGTGAGTGAGATAGCTTTTCAAAACACAGGAAGGTCTGTCATTTGGAAGGGGAAATTAGATTTGAATATCTCCTGGCATTTTCTCTAGCTATCTCCCATGCCTGGAATACACTCCCTCCTCTGCCTGACTGCTGACCTCCCTGGTTTCCATTAAGTCTCATCTAAAATCCTGCCTTCTACAAGAAGTCTTCCCTCTTTTAATTATTTCCTTATTTAATTATTATTTTAGTTATTTATATTATAAATATAATTATAGCCTACCTCTTTTAATTATT